TTCCTTACATTAGGAATCAATACTTATCTTTTTGTTGTATAACCATGACGTCAATGTAATCCAAACGGATACAGAGGTGAATAGTCGCCAAGGGATTGTAGAATGATTTCTAAGACATACAAAAATACGAGTATATATGTAATCCCTTGTTCGACAATAAGTCGAAATCAAGATAGAATATGAACATTTAAGTGGAAACCTATCAGATTAAATAATATGAAGTTAGCTGTTTTAAGTGATTATATAAAAACTTTAGGTTTGTCGTCCAAAAACTTTTATTTTTATTGATAATATAATATTTGTAATTCTTAGAACATAAACAAGTATTATTTTTTTTAGCCCAAGTTCTAAGATTTATAAGTATCTGCGAATTAAAAAATAATTTAACGCATCTAGAATATTTACAGCTTCTGCCATAGAAATACAAAGAGCAGTTCAAGCGAATAAATTTCGTAAATCCGCGTACGGGCTCCGTTGATTTACCTCGGAACCTAATGCACCAATATGTCGCTGGGGCTTAGTCACCAGTTTGGGATACAGTCTGAGATTAGCGCAGAACTGGCTCGATGCTTTACAGCTCTGTGAAATTGTAATTGGAACTGCAAAGATGATTGCATTGTTTCTTTTCAATTGTTAAAATTTTACCAGGTAACTTCATTGCGGGTTTGAGATTTCAATGCTACTCGTATGTTTCGTTATAATATTTCCTTAACAGCTTTTTGTAATAAGTTACAGTTTAATGAAGTTTTTATTACAATTCGATTAAAATTTTTATTGAATGTTATTTTGTTATTATTATGTTAATAAAAAAAATCTTGGGTATTGAATGAAACTAAAATTTGAATTGGATGTGATCGATTGTAAATATCAAGATATGGTTGTATACTTAGGCACAATTTAATTGTTTACAATAACAGTTATCTACGCAGTTTCATGAAGTAATTAAATATTATTCCTTTAACTGGCTTCTCTGATAATTTTGAAATTCAAATTGCGATTCATGATTCGATTAAAATTTGCGTTTCTTTGCTAGATGCTCAAGTATCTTTGGACCAATTCTCATTACTTAATGTATAACAGAAAAGTGAACAAATCATTTTATTTAGCCTTTATGTGCTCTGTGTAAGTTTAATATTTTTTTTTATTTGCTTTATTATTCTTTGATATTTTAATGTGTCTTCTATGACAATAATTATATATTTATTCACCCTTATGTAATATTTTTAGATTCTAAATTTGTATTTACTTTATTAGTAAGCCTTTAAGGCTTACCTTCACCTGTTTTTATGTTTTTTATGTTCAATTACTATAAGGCACTAGAAGACTACAATATTGTGAATTGTTTTTTTCTAAGTAAACTACTTCATTTGAATTTCAATTAATTGATTTTTATGAATAAAAAACAAATAGTATCAGCTGTTGCATATTCCAAAAGAGGGTTGATGTCAGCAGGCGGACGGTCGTAAACACAATTAGCAAAAACTATTCTCAACATGTAAGGCAGACCCTGGCTAAAGCTGGGAAATTGCCAGGTACAAGAAGATTGCATTGTCTATATTAAATGATAATTTTATTATGATGAATTAATTTGTATCGATGCCAGTAATGACTGTCTAGTACAAATTACTTTACATTACACTGTACATTACAAAAATGTATCAGTTTATACAATGAATTTGAAAGTATGTATGTTGAGATTTATGGATAATAATAGATTTGTATATATGTATTATATTTTAAATTTAACTTATATTATTCATAATAAAGTATAAAAATGGTTTCAATATTAATCTTAAACAAATAAAATAGTTTGAATTGAACAACACATTTGAAAGTATTGGTTAAAACCTAAAATATCCGGACACATTTTAAGGTTCTCCAGCTGCATGGTACATTAAATTTAAACATAGAATACGTTTTGTTACTTTATTAGCTTGCACGATGAATACAGTTTGCATTTTAGTAGAGATCTGTATACTGTACTTAATTTATAATAACCCAACGCATGTAGCTATGTTATTAAAAGACACAAATTGCATGAAATAATTAAGTATTCACTAGTGAAGCACTCCATCTATATAATATAATTGTAATCTTTAATTACATAAGTAACAATTACTAAATTGGAAATATTGTGTTTTATGGAATATCATCAAGATATGTTGTGATATAACATTACATTAAAATCAGGATTTCTTCATCAAAGCAATCGAGACTTATCACTATTATCACAAACAACCATAGTTTGATTATATGCATATATGGTATGTATAATTTTATGACTAACTTTGGTTGTCTTTCTTTAATAAAATAAAAGTTTTTATATATTTGTCAAATCGTTAAAATAAACTAGACCTTTTAATTGAAGGTCACCGTATTTTTTTTTATTTATTCATATATTTTCAGAAAATGTGAATACTTCCATTTGTAATCGATTACCCCTATATATATATATATATATATATATATTATGTGTGTGTGTATGTAATGAATAAAAAAAGTTTTAACGTTTCAACAACAATATAACATAATTTATCATGGAATCTTTGTTCTCTCAACAAAGTTAGTGACAGCTATAAAGCATCTACTAATTTATTAAACTTTGTAAGACAACGCCACTGTCCCTGTATGGTCATGGAATTTAATTTATTCAAAAGAAAAATCAAACATTTCACTATCTATACTTTATACAAATTTCAACTTCACATATATGTAATATACAGAAAAATTTAATTTAGCTTAAAAGAATGCTATATCCGAAAGAACACTCTCCAAACAACTACCACAGCGAAATATAAATGTCAACAATTGAAACAGTGAAATGAGATAAGGAATGAGAAAATAGAAATATTTCCATGACAGTAGATAATTTCAATTGGTTTTTTGGGATTTTTTCTATTCTTCACTGAATGCAGTAAGTTAGTAAAACAATTTTAAAATAATAAATAGCTTTAAAGCAGATATATGCCGATAAATATGAAAATAGTTTCGATTTTATATAGCATAGCTTCTTCTTTTCCTGAATTTCTCAATGTGGTGACGTGATTGTACGAAATAGCAAATATTACAAACTTGTGCAATTGAAACTCTGATATTATAATCTCGGTTGCATTTGTGGCTGTTTTTGCCGCACTAGGACCATTAAACGTTTATATCACCACAGAACAGTTGGCAGCTTTTCGGTACAAGAAACATTGATTTCGTATCAGAGATATATTGTATTATACCTTATTACAATGATATACGGTTGAAAACGAATGAAAATTCAAGCTAAACATTATGTTCTATTGAAACTATTTTAATGGGATTGTCTGGTGGAAATTACACGCAGTGTGTTTGCAATAGTTTTAATGGAAGTGAAGTGAAATAAATGACTGTCTAAATATAAAAAGTGGTTTATTACTTTGATATCATCTTATGTTGTCCAATTTTATTTGACTTTTTTCTCACTTGATTGGATCAACTAGTTCGAAATATACTTTTGGATATTTACTTTACTGAAGAAACTAATTAATTTCACAATCTGTCTTGTTTATGATTTTTGTAAAAGGTTTTAAAAATCAGAAGAACAATTTTTTTAAAATAGGAAAAGATACACTCGTTTGAAGTTTTATTGTAAAACCAAGTAAAAGGGCTAGTTAGTTGATAAAAGTATAAAAAAAACAAAACAATACTCTCCATAACCTGACTGGGATCAATACAACTTCGTTAAAATAGTAAAAGTGCCTATTTTTAAATTAAAACAAAATGTATGTGAGAAATGATTTTGGATATTCTATTGACAGCGGATCCAGATAGATACACCATCGCAGTCTCATCCGCAATGTATGTATGATGTATTCTCCGCCCGATTACGAGGGTTAAGGTGAAAGACGAAGTCAGCACATTTGGATGAAATGCGACATGTATTATCACTTTATCCTTGGCTGCAGCTTTGCTTCTAATAGTTTTTTCTTATATACATACCATATTATAATTTAATTTTGTAAAAATTCATTAATTTTACATTTATATAGACAGGAGAATGCATTAAAATTTTAACTTAATAGAAAGGAAATGAGCTTTAAATTGGTAGTCAAAAATGAAAATCGATTTATAATATAATAATTAATAATTGAAAATAGGTCAAGATAATAATTGAAAATAGGTAAATCTAATTATCTTAAATGGAATCTGGTATGGAAAGGTATGTAAATAAATTTAAATGTATACATATAGAAACATAATCTAAATTATAAGTATATCACTTGTCAAATGTACACCTCTTCCGCTACTTAAGTATATCATTATTTCTTATCATTTTTGGGTTATCTGGTTGAGATTGCATCTTAGTTATAGAACTGCTCTTACTACACTGTTTTTTTTTATTTCGTATTGTGTGTGTATTCAATCTTGAGATAATATAATAGACAATAATTGTATTAAATTTGCTACATAATTTGAAGAACTAAATTCTTTAAACAATAGCTGAACTACTTTAGAATCAATCTGACGATAAACTACTAAAAATGAGAAAGAAAAATATACAAAAGAATAGCCCAATATTGCGGTTCTGCGCAATCGTAAGGCAACACACATGACGATCGTAAAAAATGTGAATGGCATATTGAAATATTTCTCGCGACCCTTTCTTCCAATTTTCCTTCTTGCTCCATGTAACGCCTGTATAAATCTGGCGGGTCGTTATTTTTTCGATTTGTGTTTATGGTGTTGGAAACACTGTTTGTTTAATGAAAGATTATGAAAATTATGCTTTATCCTATGTTTTATAGAGATATAGTCAACAATTTAAAAACCGGAAAAATTAAGTGATATATATTTTAAAGCGGATATTTATTTACAGTCATTTATATTTATTAGTATGTCTATATCACTATCAATTTCCTCATTAAGGCTGTATACAGCCTAAACATACCGCAGGTGAGACATCTTCGACAACATAGCCTTGTACGATCCCAATGCGTCTGAATCATACATACATACGATACAACTCGTTCCAGGTGTCTGTGGCGCTAAGATATATCACCAAACAAGACATCAAACTGGTGTTCAACAACGTCGTGGTAGAGCGGGCGGTCGCACAGAAGGATGCGGCCGGCACGTTGCCGGCGGCCAGCCCGGGCGGCGGGTCCACCACCGTTTTGATAGCAACTTATAAAGAAATGAACTTATAAAACCTGTTTTTTTGAATGGATGCCAAATTTGTAAATATATTTTGTACAATTTTAACAACATTTTATTAAATAAATAAAACAATAACTTTTTTAGCGATTATACTGTCTATTAAAATTATATTAATTAAAATTTCTTACACCGTTTCGAAAAAGAGCTAAGCCACAAGTACAATAACATTTATCAAACTGATGGCTAGGATAAGAAACTATCATCTCTCTCTAACACACCAGTATTTCTGGAAGTTGCAGAGAGTTTTGAAGAGCGCTATTGGCTCGGTAATGCCTTCGTTAAAAAGAGCGAATAAAACATCTGATTCCTATGACAAAGAGAATATAGAATGCCTAGTGGACAAACTACAAGGTCAATGTGTTCCAAACCTTTAACCATGTGACCTGGATTACTTAAATAGACTATACGATTTAAATGAAACTAATATTTTTCGGATATACTACGAGACTTTATTTTTGATAAAAACTGCATATTCCCGACGTTTCGGCTTCTTTTCAGCAACCGTGATCAAGGGAGACAAGATGTGAATGTAATGAGATCTAAGATTTTCGCGAGTACTCATTTAAATGAAACTAATATTTTTCGGATTATACTTCGCGTTATATTTTTGATTAGAAAACTACATACTCCCGACGTTTCGGCTACTTTTCAGTAACCGTGATCACGGGCAGACGAGATGTGAGTGTCTGTCAGTTGGTCTGGTTATTTATCTCCTACCGCCATCGATTTCTTAATTGTCTTGCGTACCGCTCTGGATGCCGGCAGAATGCGCTTACGGTGTCCCGAGGTCCTATGGTGTGGTCCCGGATATGGGATTTTATATTTTTAAGAAGGGGATCCTAGATTTTTGATAGATTTCAGATATCTTCTATATTGAAATTGGGGTGCTTTTTTATTTCAAAAGCCTCGCGGATTAACCTCGGTATACCTATACCTGCCGTCAAGAGCGAAGGAGGATATGTGATTTAGCAAACTGAATGCAGTGGCCTGGTTTGTCCAATGTATGTTCACATACGTGACTTCGACGCACACCTATTTTTGATATCTGTTCTTTAACCCTTGTACAAATGACTTTGTTGAATCCAAACTCATCGGTACAAGGGTTGTTGTAAAGGAATGGTACTCTTAATCAGTCTCAAGAATTAGCTCATTTTCTTGTGTGATTTGTATATATGTAGTCTTGATTTGATCTTTCTTCAAGATGTTGCGTATTCTGTCAGTAACTTCCAGTAACTAACATATGGTAGTATCGGAATAAGATGAGTAGACCGTGCTTTCTGCAGCAATTGTCTCTTTTATTTGTAAACTACTTTCAACTTCTGATGCCTTCGAAATTATGTTATTATTTTCATACTAGAAACACGACAAAGACTTATATGCTTGCACACTTTTAAATAAGATATTTATAAATGAAGGGATGCCTTAACAACCAAAAAATCGGAATAAATTTATTTTAAACCTTGATATTAAATAGGTTTGTTACTAAAATATAAGGTTGAAAACAAACATACTTTTTACTTATTTATAGTATTAATATAAATCGCTTGTATTTCAAGTATATAAAACAAAAAATAAACATAACAGAATATGACACAAATATTAAAAATTAAAATTTCGATCAGTTACATCACGTGAGTTGTTTACGTTTATATTCTCAAATGCAGTTTGCGAGCCACTGTGGGAGCGGACTCCATTAGAATTTATGATACATGGGCCAGACAGTAATTAAAAGAGCCCACAGAGGAATCTAACATATTGTATTGCTGCCAAGTTATGGTATTAAGTTTATGTTCAGAGTGAGCTCGGAATAATTATGCTATGTTATTATTTTATTTTTAGTCCTTACATAATGTTACAATGGTTTTCAATTTCAACTAAAATTATTCACATCACATATATTAGCATAAGTTTAAATAATTTGAAAAAAAAATTGTTTGTGTGTAATGTTGCCAAGTTATTTTTTTTTTTAAGATTTTTATTTTGTAATTGGATGAAGTAAAAAACCAAAGGAATAAAATATCTTCTCGTTAAACATCAAATCTTGCCAGTTGACCAAAACATTTTTACATTGCATTTTACTCTGTTCTTACTAAAATTAAAGGGGGTAGATATTTTTATTGATTTTTTTACTCTCATATTCTATAATATAATAGAACTAACTTACAAATTTATAAGTTAATAATACGTCAAACCCATTTCATTTATCACTTTAAAAATAGAAAGGGATCCAGATTTGATTGTTTTACAATATATTTTTTTAATATACATTTTACAACTTCTTCACTTGTAAACTAATTTTAATATTCATTGAGATTTAATGTCAAAATAGTTTTAAATATTTTTTATTAAAATAGTTTGGAAGTAAAAATGTAATTGTGGAATTAGCGTATCAATTATCTTTCTCCGGAATGAATGTGGAGTATAGTTTTGTAATATAGGAATTCAAAACATAACAAAATAAGAAAACTTATATATAGTTACATATTGCCAACTTCATATATTTATACCCTTTAATTAAAAGGATCCTTCTTAATACCTCAGATAGACAATGACTGTGGAGTGGATACGTAGAAATTAGAATAAATATACATATTTTTGTTTCTTAAAAGTGAAGCACTGAACAATATCATTGCATGGATTGTGAACGGATGACTTTTGGAATTGGTATTTAATTTAAGCGTTTTCAGAACTAGATATTCTGATAACCTATAACTAATCTAGATTATATCTAGTTGTCATCCTTCTTATTTTAGTATAAATATAAGAATAAAATAAAAGAAGTTATGTACCTATAACCAATATTCAATGTATAATTACTGTTCGGTATTTAGACAGGTTAAAGAAAACTTCTTTGGTTTTGCTAACTACTTTTATCTGAAGATACAGCTGTTACTAAGACAAGAAATTGTAGCGGAATGATATTCAAATTTGAAATATAAAGGAAGTAACGTATGTACATAGATAAAAAAGGATTACAAATTTATGTGGAATATCGTAGTTTATATAGACAAAATGTCATAAAAAATAAATGTAGTGCAGGTCCACACGTAGGCGCACACAATTATTAAAAACAGAAATATTCTGTCGTTATTGTCATAAAAGAAAAATGATTGAGTTCTTCTCGTTTGGGCAATTAAAAAAAAACATGATTCCATAATATATTTCCAAAAAAAAAAAAAACTAAAAGGTTCATGTTAATATAATATTGTTCACTTCAGAAACAATAATGCAATAAAATGTTCTATACTGCTTTACATCTGCTAAAAGTTACAATATGTATTTGAATTGCCTGTTATTTTATTAAAAATCTTTGTATACTTGATGCTCGTCTTAATTTCTTCTTCTTCACTTTTTTGTTTCTACATTTGGAGAACTTCATTTTAATGATAATTTTACTATTAATAACTTGCTGTTTTTTATACTATCGGCTAACATACTCAAATTACTCGTTATCATGGGAATCGATGCGTAGACCGCTATAAATACAGCTTTAATTCAGCTAAGCTTGTCAAGCTGGTTTCAGGGCTGTCATGAGCATTATTCTTTTCATTTTAGTATCAAAAATATTCTTTAATATTTTTAACACCCCACTTTTCAAAATATTTTGGTAATGAAATTTCGCAATAACGGTTTTAAACATTTTTTTAAATCTCATAATTGTATCCTTGGTGCAAATTTAATAAAAACGGACAGAAATAAAAATTTGGTTTATTTAACTTAAAAAATGAATATACTTTTTCTAAATAATAAAATTCCTTTCGGTAACCCTGACTAATGTCAATGGCTGCTTTTATTATAAGCATGGGACTAATAAACCGTCGCCAGTTTTATTTCAAAGTTGCATCTTTGGATATTCATGGATTTTGATAAACTCATAAAAATTCTTCAACAAAATCTCCTGCAAAAGAACTGGAGAGAAAATTTTGCGATATATATAAAATTTCCTGACGGGAATACCATTTACTTTCTCAGAAGCAGCGAAATAGTAAAATTTTTAAGGTTTAAAGATAAAACGTTTCGAATCAATAGGTAGTAAGCTGCATGTGTCCATTAATTTTATTTAATTGCAAACCCACCTTGTTCAATAGACAACAAGGTTTTGTGAACAAAAACAAGAAATAATTTGTTCTACTTTCGAAAGTAAATAGTAAAACCAATTACCACCTTCCCTATAACATTTAAGTTAAAAGTGTACACTTTAGATTACACTGGTTTTTTTTAATAATTAATATTTGCCTCACCTTTTTAAATTGAATATAATGATTTTTGGTAAAGATTACAAAGCAGCGTAAGAGTTTGAAAGATTCAGCTTAATGTGTTCATCTAAGAAAACAGGATTTGAATGCAAGTATACAGAAATAATAAAAACCTAATAAAATCACTTCAACTTCACTGATTTGAAGTTATTTTATTACTTTCAGAATGTAGATGAAATAACCGCTATTTTTAACACCGTGTAAATTAATCATCGCTATGGATAATTGCAGACGTTTGTACAACTTTCTGACTCAGATCGTTCATTCCTTATCACGTTTACCTTAAAGTCGTGTTAAATATTAATATAAATATTTGAAGTGTACAATTGAGACAGTTGAATAAAATTAAGTAACGTTTTTTCTTTCTGATTTCTTATGCTTTAACATTTATCATTGTTAGATAATACTTGCAAATATAATTTAGTTTATGAATATGTATTAGAAAAATAAAAGATTTGTGTTAATGGAAAGTGTTGAATAAAGGTATTTCCTAAAGCATTACATCAATTCACATTTTATTTCGTACGTATGTATGAAATGTATTCTCGATTCAATTTATGCTAACATTTTAGCTTAGAATTCCAATTTCATTTATATTATAGTAGTTTTCATGTCATTTCGTTATAGTTCAATAAGGCTTACATTAATTATTATTTGATGGATCGAGCGTCACTAGGCTGTTCACTGTCAGTCGGACAAAATATTATATTATATAAGAGACATAATATTTTATA